CTTCCTCTTCCTTCCTCTTCCTTCCTCTTCCTTCCTCTTCCTTCCTCTTCCTTCCTCTTCCTCTTCCTTCCTCTTCCTTCCCCTTCCTTCCTCTTCCTTCCTCTTCCTTCCTCTTCCTTCCTCTTCCTTCCTCTTCCTTCCTTCTCCTTCCTTCTCCTTCCTTCTCCTTCCTTCTCCTTCCTTCTCCTTCCAGTAGTGTTGTGTTGTTGAGGCTCTTTATTTACCACATCTGTATATATAATACAATATGACTACACCTGTACATTTCTCCAAAGCAGCCACACGGTCTCGCCGTAGCTTGATCTTCGGTGACATGTGTGGCCTATGGAGTTCATCGTGATGGTCAAAAGCAGATGATCAATGATAATCACTTTCCCATCCACCTGAACTTGGGGCTCTAAGTACTCATTGAAGTACTAGACTCAAGGTTTTTGGAGCCCTCCTGGCTACAGTGAATGGGGAAACTGCATGAAACAACGCCCAGGTTCATCGCCGCGGGCGCGGACGTTTGCAGCAAGAGGAACAGCGCATCTGTGCTACTTTTGCTCCTTGGACCGTCCGGTGTGGCATTGAAAGTCCTGCAGCTGAAGAAAGGATTTGCCCCATCCCGTCATCGCATTGCACTTTTGGCCGTCGCCTAGAATTGTTCTTCGCATTCGTTCCAAGAGGTTCCAATGATCCTGTCAGTAGTTGCTTACCTCACTTGCCCCCAGACAAATCCTTGGAGCTTCGTCACCCAAAGAACCGGAGAATCCGCGTTTTTGGTTTGATTTTTTTAAACCAAACCACAGAAATCAGGATTCCAAGGGACGACTCAGTGAAGGAGTGGGTGTTATGAGGGCATGGGGCATGGGGCATGGAAGGCATCCCGGATCGCCCTGTTCCTTCACTTCTTGGGTCCTCGTGAGGTCCTCGTGACATGTTGAACCAAGTTCCCCGAGTTCATCCACTTGATGGAGTCCTAAGAACACAACTCATCCATCATCCATCCAGGTGGATGTATTTCTTCGGGGGTGAGGGACAATCGATTGGGGGACAAGTTAGCTGAGAAGACATGAACACGTGGCTGGACAAGTTACGTCCCCCAGCTTAGTTCGAAGAAGGTGGGAGACAAGTTAGTTAGGTGGTTCCCCACTTCAAGAAAATAAATTTGTTTTTGTTACTGGTCGTATGAATAGTAATGGTCCAAACTGCAGACCTTGGTGCAAGTGTGCCTTTACTTACTGTGGCTTCTCGAAGCCAGCATATATATATATATTGTGTATATATATTAATATATTGTATATAATATTGTCAATGTATATTACGTATACGTTTATTTGATATTTAGCGTCAATACATGAGGTACCCTAGCTCCACCTTTGATACTATAAGCACTGCTTGTTGGTTGATATTTGTGAACACTTCCTGTCTGTGTCTTTTTTAATCAACAAAAAGCAGCCGCCTTTCCTCCTCAAAGGGCCCACAGAATCCCACCAACGGACATTGGGATCCAGGTGAGGCCTGCGTAAACCTCCGATCTTCTTCGGCCGAAGCTGGGTTCTGCGGCTGCGGCTAAGGATGATTCTCAATCCATACTCAAGTTTTTTAGAGATGACCAAAATCTGCCGGATGGTCATAGAGAAGGACCCGCAGAGCGTGTGCCAGCGGGATGGATTTAAGATGACACCTTTTGCACCTTGGATGATATCACATTGCATTGTTTTGTAATTTGCTTTGGCGCCAGTGCGCCAGGCGCAAGTTTTGGGGTGACACGGGTGGCTCTTCAGCAAGCTTTGTGGCTGAATTTCCTTGGGCATGTCGTTGACGGCACTACAGAACTTCCAAGGAAACAGAAATTGAAATCCAGTTCATTTTTCATCATCCTTCCGTTTTTTTGGTGGGAAACTACGGCATATTTCAGCAAAGAAGCTACGACATGAGCGACATCATAGCTTTTCTGTGTACTTTGGGTGGGTGGTGTGACCCAGTTGTGAGCAGATGCACAGAGTCACAGGATAGGATCTACCTTTGAACGACCAGGCCAGGATCTACCAGCCCCTCAGAACTCCTAGCGAACCAATGCCACCATTTTTGGCAGAGCCTTACATCAATCACCACGAACGAGATTTGAGTCTTGCGGGAGAGTATACTTTTTTGATGTGCTCGCTGGATTTCACCCCATCACTTCTATGTACCTGCCAGACCTCCACATTTTTGGGCCATGTTGTTCCGCCCAGAACTGGGCCTCGGACTACGAGAATGTCTCCCTGCAACACGGGGTGAGCCCGCCCAACCCCGCTGTGCTCCTGGCGCTGGTGCCCAGCATTTTCGAGCTTTGCCCAGACCTCGCCGCTGGACCTGAGAGCTGCTCTTTTTTGCACGTGAAACTGACAACTAACAAGACACCTGGGAAAGCAATGTTTCAAAAGAGGCTACAGCGAGTCTGAGCCTTGTCAAACGTGTTGCAAGGTGCGGATGAGTTGTGTGTTTGCTTCGTGGCCCCTTGTTGCAGAAAAAGACCCAAAGAGGGGTGGATAAACAGATCGATATTGAACAGATACTGTGTGTATGAGTGACCAGGTGGATTTGTGGATTGTTTCAGGGGGCTCATGAGCTTATTGTTTCCGAGGCGGAGGGATCTGGCGCTTGTTGCTTGAAGACCACGAAAACCGGCCAAGCTGCAGGCCTCCCGGTTTTTGCTGTTTCGGAATGAGCATTTCCGACCGGGGGTTCCAAAAAAGACATATGGCGCTGTGTACGAATCTAGAGTCTAGATGGGGAATAAGAATCGAAAGCGTTCTCGATCTGATACATTAAGCCCCAAAAGCATACTAATTGAGTAACATGCCCAGAGAAACCATATCGCTACCTCTGTTTCAGTCTCTAAAAGCTTGACTGCAGCAGCTTGACGTTTCCCGCCATTGAGCGACCTGCGGAACGAGCGCCAGGAGCAGTGATGTCAGGCGTGAGCCTACGGTTCTTAGAAGGCGATCGCGTGCTTTGTCGAGTGGAAGCGCCAGGGAACCAAACAACCTGGGAAGAAGGCGTGGTGGTGGGCCTTTGGTACAGAGCCACTTGGCCAAACCTTCATCTTTTTTTGGGGGGTGGGTAGGCTGTAGAGGGAGTACTGTAGCTAGTAGTAGTTAGTAGCTAGGTAGGTAGCTAGTAGAAGAGGCAGCTAGTAGCTTACTTAAGCTACTAGTATTGACGCAGGATAGCGCTCGCACTATTCATTTGTTTCCTAGATTTTTAGGGACACTTAACTAGTGGTCTAGAAAATGCCTGCCAGTGGCCAGTCAGCGTCGAGTTGGAGGATGAAATCGGTGGCCATGCAATGGTGCTTTCACTGGAGGATTTGATGACTCATAGGAAGTGATTCCAGAGCTCAAAACGCAGGCTGAAGATCTGTGAAGCCTTCTGAGCAAAAAGTAAAGAATGGGTTGAAACGTGTTCATTGCTTTATGAGTATTTCTCATGATGTGAATCACCTGATTTCCTTGCAGCACCCCTTCTGAACTGGACCTTGATGGAACGAATTGGGGCAAATCGAGAAACGAGGGAACGAATAGGGGTCAAAGATGTCAATGAGTCTACCAGCACCTTCCAAAGGGTGCCAAACGTGCTTGGACATGTTTCACGGGACTCGAAGAGGTAGGTGACATCAGGTGACCGTCCGCTGGATTCTGTTACGGTTTTTTTCATGCCCTTCCTATTTTCTTTGAGCACGTCCAAGTGGAGGTTTTTGGTTTTACAGATCACCTTTGACAAGGTTGGTACTGGATGTTGTTCCAATCTGCCTACATTTATGCTACACGAAGATGCTGCCTTTCTCCACCGAGGAGAAGGGCTGGCCGCCTGAGTTTCCTGGGGCTCCCTATGAGGCGTGGTGCGCTAAAAAAAACCATCGTGACACGTTGAAAGCTGTCCACGGTACTGTCATGCCGTTTTGTTAGCGCTGAAACGTCAAAAAGCACCTGTGAGAATGGTGCTGATGAAGGGAGTCCTCATTCCATGATTGAGGGTCTGTAACAAAGACGCCGCATACTTTGAGGAGGGATCAGCTCTGCAATTGACTCGCCTCCACAAAGAACACTAAGTCACTACTAAACAGACCCGGGTCGAGCCACAGGTGAAGTTGGACATCGGCTCACATGTCTACGCCTTAGTCGACCATGATGGCTTGATCCAACGCGAGGCACGAAGTTTTGGGCGTCCGATCTCTTTTCCAAAGACTATCGCATGTGGATTGCATGTCCTGTATCGCATCGAGACTGGCTATCCATGATCCACCTGAGAAATCCATGCTTTTTCTTCACCCCCCTTCCGCTCAAGCGAAAAGCGCCGTCAGATGGACTCCACCTGAGAAGCCGTGAGCAATGCCTGAGACGCCATTCTTGGACTTTTGTGAGACATACTATAGACATATTTTGGCAGAGACGAACAAAAAACATGTCGGTTTTGTCAGGCAAGACACATTGAATATACTAGTAGTCTTCTTAAAAGGGAGGCAAGGTGTCTTTTCTTCTGTGACTTCATGGCATCCCTTCTGCTCCACTCATCCTCTCCAGGCGAGGCAGACGGTGAAGGCCACGCTGCCAAAGTCCACCGGGCGCTTCCAGAAGCAGCGGCGCGATGATGGGAGCCCCTTGGGCTCTCGGTACAGTGAATTTCTGGAGCTCCAATGGGGGAAAGCACAAAAAGTAGAAGGCCCATATCCGGCGTAGCTTTCATCATTCCCTGTAGCTAATTTTAGTTTACATTGACCCCCAAAACCACCCCAATGTAGGCATATTTGGATTGTGAATGATTGTTTCGCTTCAGGATGACCACCGTTTGCCACGACCTCAGTGTCCTGGGAAACCAAGGCTGGGAACTTCTTGACACGAAGTCAGGTAAGGCGCGCGCCTGTTCCCCGCCCGACTCCGATGAGGAGGGGAGACGTTTTCGGAGGAAGGGCGCCGGCGCGGGGTAGGGCGCCGGTTCGCGGATAGGACGGAGTGATGGCTTTGCAACCTACTAGCGAGCCTCCAACCCAATAGCGATGGCCTCCACCCTAAGGGCGATGCCTCCACCCTACTAGCGATGGCCTCCAACTTAAGAGCGAAGGGACTTAAGAGCGAAGGGGATTTTGACATCTGAATGATTCTGAATGACTGGCTCGCTCCAAGAGGAACCTGGCCTTATGTGAGAGTTGTGGTTCATTGGCATAAATTAGACATGGGTTCTCGTGGCAAGACTGAACACATTGTTCAGGACTTCGCGAGCAGTCGACCAAGATCTCGAGTTTTTGGATGACCCCGATGAAGTGCATGTAGGCTACGGAGGACAACAAAAAATTGATTTTTGACGGGGAAAAACAGTTGATGACCTCCATGTGGGTGTGTAGCTCAAATAGAGAGACCTCCCAGTTCGACCCTCTGCCAGGGTTGGGGGAAATCGACTGAAATTTACCAACCAACAACACCCAGTGGGAGATCCCCCTCGATCACCCCCTATATATATATTCATATAAATATGCATGCGGTCAAAGAACTCTGAAAGCTCGGAAAGAAGAAAAGAAGGGAAATAGACCAAGACCATCCCAACACCCGGTGGGAGATCCCCCTCGATATATCTATATAAATACATATAAATACACACATGTCTTTACGGATTTTCAGAACCCTCGGTCCTCGTCCTTGTTTTCGATGGCATCGCTGTCAGGACTGAGACGCAGGGCTGATAGGATCTCACAGCACCGAAAGCAAAAAAAAACATGAAGAACTCGGGTGCCGGAAGAAATCGGAACAAAAGTTCGCATATACAGTCTTTGATGGTTGGTCTTGTGCATCGATGATGATTTGACGGAAGGTGCTGCAAGTGCTGTGGGCTGCAACATGCAACAACTTTGTGATTGTTCGCAGGCCAAGGTGCGCTTCAAATAGAACCATCTCTTGCCCGGAAAGCATCGAATGCTTTAGCACATTTCACGTGACGAAACGGGGCCACTCCTCACTCCTTTGTCCGAAAAGATCACGCCACAATATTCGGTCAAAGGGTGTTCATTAAGTCTTGAAGTGTGAGAATCGGCCGAAGGGTGATCCGAAGTTTTCTGTGTGGAGTGTGGGTGGGGGAGACTTTGAAGGGATCCTCCATATTGCTGAAGGAATGGTGGTTTATGATGTTTCTTTCTTCATCAATCGCAATCCCAAGGCCCAAACAAGGTGTAGAAGAGGAAGGACATCAATTAATGTCCACTTATGGTTCATAAACAGCACCGAAATAGAGCTTAGCTGTTTTGCCAAACATCCCATTGCACTTGTTAATAAACTACCATGAATAAAACCCATGTTGTTTTCTTTTGGTGAACCACATAACTATTTACTAAGGTTTTTCTATCTAACTTAGTTATTGTTGTTCTTTCTTTAACATAACTACATGAAAGGTGAGAATCCAAAAGCCTCAAACTGTTTGGTGTCATTTCCTTTACTAAAATCCTTTATGAATGATCATCATGAATGATTCCAACACATCTCACAACAAGGTACCCCCAATTCAGGGCCTTTTCACCAATTCCCATCCACATTCTGGCCAATATTCTGCACGTTTAAAACTTTTGGGTGGGGATTTTGAGGTGCCTTAATTCCATTCAGTGCATTTCAAGGTGGAGGTCCCTATAGCCTTTATTCATAGGTGGACAGTGGACATTCGTGTATTATGATTTGGCCATCCCAGTCATGTTTGTAGTTTTCTTGGGTGATGGACACGGGTTTACCCTCCAAGTGCATCCTGAACGTTTTATTCTAGTTGAACATGGACCGTTCGCCGGCGGGCTTGGAGTGACTTCATTGGGCTCGTCAGCCCGACGCTGTTTTTCTTTTGCGCACTATTTTTTGCTCTTCCAATTTTCACGGGACAGCGCTGTTTTTTCGGTTCAGGCTTCACTCAGTGCACTCGTGCCGCCGAACGCTCTGGATGTAGATTCTAGAGGACCATGGCGCTTCCTGTTGGGGTCTTTCCAAAGCCAGCAGGAATTTTTCGTCCCTATCACATACAGCTGGTTGGAGACGTCAGTGGACGTCAGGACTGCACAAATTCTGCATTGGGTCCTTGGGGTGACGCTGCATCGAGTCCGGGTCTTGTCAGATTTTGGTCCACTCAGGTGAGTCGCCGAAGCCTGATTTTTAGACACTGGGCTTGATGGGTGCAGTAGACGGCTAGTTATGGCATATAGAGGATGGTGCTAACAACTCCTTGTTTTGAGTGGATCTGTATGGGATGACACACACAGGCGATTGGAAGGTGAATTGAAGTCTTGAAGAGCATGAGCATGACCTACTATATAGCCTATAGTGACCTTTCCCCTGGAAAGTTGTATGTGCTTTGCGTCGATTATCCACTGGAGCTCAGAAACAAGACAAGGGCATTTCAAAGATGCGTCGTTGAATCTTGTGTGCCCTGTGACTTCGCAGTTGGGGGCACAGACTTCGCAATGAAATCCTGGGTAGATAGTAACATGACCGAACCCATCTTCAAAAGATGTTAACCAGGGAGTTTACCATGATTTACCTGTGAATTTGCAATTCTCCACAATAAGTATATATTGTAATTATCATACAAAATATCTTAAGTCTTAGATAATATGAAACATTGCAGGTTGCCATTTTCTTTTGTTGTTCTGACTGTTCCATGTTTCTAATCCGCAACATTTATACCCTCTCAAAGATTCAACATGGAAGCCTGAAGGAATCGGAATGCGGCGCTGTCGTGAAATCGCGAACACCAGTCGCGACCTCGGCGTCTGCTCTGCCAGCGTGAGAGGTGCCGGGCCAGCACCAGTGTACCACGTGAAATCCCTGAACCCTCCCTGCCAGAGGGAACTGTCGCAGGGTGCTGGTATGCATCTGTGGTTTTTTGGATGTTCTTCAACAGTGGTACAACCTTGCCCTGTGCCTTTTTTGGCCTAAAAATGACTGGCCCTATGTGAAACGGGCCGCGTCAAGGTACCGAGTCAATTTATATAGGCCGCTCAACCCTGCCCTGCATGAGGGTTGAGTTAGGGAGCATCCCTCAAGTATTGGATTGTTGTATGGGTTGCTTGTAACATGTAGCAAATCATGAGATTCTCCGCTGGGCCTTCTTTTTCAGTTGCCCATCTAACCCGGAATCAGAAGCAACACATCGACAGCACCATAAGTATCATAAGTGTAGCCACTTCCGAAGCATGACCGAAGTCATTTGCAAAGGTCCGGCCTGCTCGGTCATGGACAGAGCGGAGACAGGGGGCGGCTTTGCGATGGAGCCATTGGTCGGCGAGGTCGTTGGAGCCATGGAAGAAACATGACAACGGCTGCCTGTGCTAGCATGTTGAACATGAAACAAATTGAACTCTTGGTCATCTCAAATAGGCAACAGTCGTACCAACACTGTGCTTTCTGAAAGAAGACAAAATTACTGTAATTACTCTTGAAAATAGCATAGACACTGACGGACCACGCACAGCAGCAACCTGACATTTTCTTGGATAAGCCGGGCTGTTCTCTTTTGTTCGACACTTGTTGCTGACTTTGCAGCAGAATCCGCTGATTGGAGAACCCACCAATTAACTCACTGCGGACAGTATGATGGGCAAGGGTTGTGACTTGTGACTAAAAGATATGTATACTGTATGTGTCCAGCCCATTGAATTGGACAAGAGTTGTTTTGTTTGTGTTTGCGTCAACGGAGCTCTCCTTGCTCTTTCTGAAGCCACGCAATTTGCCAAGAAAGGGCTAGACTCTAGACTAGCAGATCCATCATATCCAGGGTGTGGCCCATTACCAGTAACAGTCGGTAACAGCCCACCACTATTTGTGAGAAAGGCCTGGAACTTGACCGTTATTCACTGTACTGGCATACCGATGTACCCAAGAGCTCGACACGCTGCACTCACATGGTTCCATGAGCCTGCGTTGAGCTGGGAGGGGAAAGTTCGCCCTCACTGGATTCGCACAAACCATCACTGACTCCAGCAGCTTGCCAGTCGGTTGGGGCGCGGCATGTGGAGTGCACAGGACGATCATAAATGGATTTGTGTATGTGTGCTGGGGTGATCTTGGGTATCTAATTATTCTTTCTTCCAGGGTTCTTGATTAGGAGAGACAGTTCCCGGGGATCATCACAGTTGCAGAGACTTGTGCATGTTGTAACATAGTTTTAGTGCGGGAGGAATATCTATGATGACAAACAACAAAAGACATTTAGTTGTCGTCTTCTTCTTGCATGCGGGACCCCGGAAGACCGCAGCCCGACGGGCACAGCAGGCATGGTTTCTGGGCGAGGGGTGAGAGAACCAAAAGAACCGTGCTGCGCGCGCTGCGCGGTCTGTTTGGTGTTCTTGTTTTGCCTGAAGATCCCAAGATTGCCAGAAGCTCAGTAACCTTCGATGGAAGAAAGACACACTGATTGACGGGGCACCAAAAGGACCGGGACTGAGGGTGTCTCAAGGTGAACCCATTTGGGGGGAACGAGGCTTTTGAAACGGGAGAAGCAGAAGCACAGATTCACGGTTGCCACATGCGAAGAGGATGGATTGGCTGTCCGGTGATGTCAAGGAACATACTGGTGTAACCCTTTTTGGTTCGAACCACAGGAGCCATGAAGGAAAGCGCCCAGCTGGTGTAAAGCTCATCAGCTGCGGTCGGGGTGAATCTGCAGAGGAAGACTATTTGATTGCCTCTCACTCAGTATACTATAATATCTGAAGTCTTCAGCAGGTACCACTGTCATCCACTGTCACACTTTTTCACTCCAAGTGGTACCTACCACCATCTTCGTGGTTTGGGAGTTAGACTGACTCTGTACGTGCCGAATCTTGGGAGAAACCAGGCTTCGGCTTCCCCTGTCGGCGTGTCTGAGGCAGGAACCCGAGTCGGTGGTTGGGACTTCGGTCAGCGAGAGAGTTTCCTGACCGGAGGAGCTTCTTCTGCGAACTTCAGATGTAGATGTTGAAGAGGAACTCTTGCACAATCCGATTGTCTCTAGAATCTAGACATCTATTCAATAATGTATTCATATGTATTCAATCTATTGCTTGAGTAGAAGTTAAGTGAATGAATGGCACCGCTGCAGATGTCACCATCCCGCAGCAGAACTCCACAGCAGCTCCATCATGCAGTGGTTGACGCTGTGACTGGTGTCAGCCGCATCTCAAAAGGTGATTATTTGGGGCAAAGGCTGTTCGGCAATACTTTCAAATTATGAAAAAAACAACGAACACAGATGAAAAAACATCGATTCGGAGAGTCAACACTTCGGACATACCCATGATTCCGGCATGTACCAAGCCAGGTTGTTCAAGAACAAGTTCCTTGAACTCTACTAACGGGTTTATCAACAAGCAGTTTGCTCTCTCTCTCTCTCTCGATGCCCGTGACCAAGCGCTGGGCACCGTCATGGTGCACATGGCGCGGCCTGGGTTGTGTCCTTGGTTGCGCGGTGATGCATTTAATGTCCTCCTTGTTGAGGCGAAATCTGACAGGCTCGGAAGGACTCCAATATGTACAAGGACTGGATGCTCATCGCCTCGAACTACCGACCTGTAGCATTCAGCCACACCTGTGTGCTCGGAACACGAATCTCCAGAAACAGCAGCTAGACGCGGCCGCCCGGATGCACCACTCGATTTGGAAGATCGGCGGTTCTGCACTTGCAGTTTGCTGCACCTGTTGTTTTCTTTTTGGATTTCTCCTACAGCTCCAGCTGTGGCGCCGTGAAGAGCCTGTCGAAGAACGGCCTCGT